AGTCTGACCACACTTCAATTATAACTACAAAAATATAATTAACTTAAAATTATTTACATTAAACCTGGCAAATCTGATTTGTATGACACTGAAACAGCAAACGGGGCTCGCGCCGGGTAATGACAGCGGGAACGCACAGCAGCGGCGGCGCAAGAGTTACGCAACGCGTGTTTATGAACGACGGTACGAAGTGGGAGGGGGGGGGTGATGATCGCGATGAAAGCGCGCGCCGTAAATCTGTCGCCGCGGCCGCCGCGCGAGGCGCTGGCGCTGTTTGCGGCGCGCTTATGCGGCGCGTGTGGGTGGAGATGTGCTGCATCACCGACCCCGCGCCGCCCGCCGCCTCCCCAGCCCCCGCCGCCGCCCCCGCCGCCGCCGAGTTCAAGTTCGCGGCAGGTAGTCTGGACGCGGCGACCCGACGTGGTACACGTTTCCTTGCGACTGGCGATTCTGCTACGAGTGTCGCTCATGGCCGCTGGCTTTGACCTAGGCCTAGGGTTTGAGTCCCGACGATGCCGAGATGACAGTAGAGACAGAGCCTAGAGTTCTAGCTCAGAGCTTTCGGAACTAGCTAGATAACTAGGTCGAATCCAGCTGCTATCTTGAGAATTCTAGCGTCTGGCTGCTCTTATCGATCGTTTTCCGTGCTTTTAGCTGACAACACCAGACGAATGCCGGAGCAGAACCCTAACAAACGAGCCACGAACTGCGCGCCATCTTTCCTTCCTTTTCCTTGTTCTATCCCGTTCCTGTTCAGGCAGCAGGTTGTCTGGACACGGCGACCCGACTTAGTACACGCTTCCTTGCGACTGGCGATTCCACAACGAGTGTAGCTCATAGCCGCTGCCTCTGAACTGGCGGGTTTAGGATTTCGAGCCCCGCTGATACCGGATTTTCGACAGTATAGTACGATTTATTTAGACGCGCACTTTACGTAAATCAGTTGTTGCAGTTTCATCGAATCGGAAGCTTATATGTCGGTACAGTGGGGACGTTGAAGCTCCCGATTGAATGAAACCGTGAATAGCTGATTTACGTCAAGTGCATGGGTAAGTAAATCCTACTATAGCTACAGTTCCTAGATATCTAGCCCGCAGCTTTCGACAATAGGTAGATAGCTAGGTTGAATCCAGCTGCTATCTCGAAAATTCTATTCTCCGACTGCTTTCATCGGTAGTTTTCAGTGGTTTATCGATCAAGGCCGGTTTTCAGTACTAGCTACATAGGTACGTCGAGTACAGCTGCTTGTCTGGAGGAGACTTAGCTGCTCTGATGGGTAGTTTTCCCTGGTTTTCCCGACCAATGCCAGAACGAATGCCTAAGCAGAACCCCTAACAAACGAGCCACGAACTGCTCACCGTGTTTCCTTCCTCTTCCTTATCCTATCCCCTCCCCGTTCAAGTTCACGCGACGACCCGATTCCTTTCGGCGCACGATTCTCGAGTTTCACCGTATGTGCCGCGAAGCGTGGAATTCCAGAAGCCGCCGCATGGCGCTCTCGGTCGTTCGCAAAAACACACGTGATTCGTTCATACAAAGGAAGCGTAAAAATCGGGTCGACAGGTTGTCGAATCACGTGAGCAGTAAGACTTGGAGATCGACAGAAACCATGCGGTCGTCCCAAGTGAGGTTTGATTTTCTGAACACCAGGGGTTTCCAACTATGTGAGGGGTGTTGAGCTCTGCAGTGAATAAAATATTCCGAACGGGTTTTCAAGACTGCGGCCGGACTCGGCGGCTTGTAGAACCACGTGAGCAATGACTTTCTTTCACGTGTGTAATGATTTTCTGCCACATGAGCAATGATTCTCAAGTAGCTGAGTGAAAGGTTCCGAGCGTCGTTTGGGAGTTCATTTTAGTTAGTGGTTCTCAGGTCGTGACTGGCTGTAGAACCACGGAGATGAATCATCTAATTGTGCATTCTCAGTACCTGCTCTCCAGTTCAAGGGCAAAAAAGATTGCTCCCTGAAGACGAGGGAGTTTCCTAGAGGTGTTCGGTTCTGCGAGTAGTTGAGTCAAATTTAATGTATGCGGTTCAACATTTCCTTTTCGTTTCAAAGCAGGTTGTCTGTATATATCGAGTTGTAGAACCCTGTGTGCAATGTTGGGGACTGAAATTATATATTCAGTCGAGCCAATTCTGCATTCCTCTCGAGTCCAGATCGCATAAAGTCATTGAATACGTGGATATTTCCATGTATCTGGAGGGTGTTTAGCCATTCAAGTACTGAAGCCAAATAATTGTAGCGCCGTTTATTAATTCAAGTTAGCAGCAGTGGACAACGGTTGACGTTGATGATTTGGGGATGTGAGTGATGATGGTTTGGAGATGGAGACGGAACTATTTTAGGATTTTTATGTAAAGGCTTCCGGGGTCAAAGAAAGCTCATTGATGCACGTGTTTTCATAGACGTGGAGTGAGTTGAGCTAAGGAGTCATGGGGTGACTAGTAGATATTTTGCAAAAGCCGTTCATGAGTTTAAGTTCGAACCCGGTCTTCTGCATACGATAGATTGACCATCCACGTGAAAAATGATCGCATGGAGACGAGAATGAACCATTTTCGACCTGTCCCAACTGACTCGTATAGAAACAGCCCGTCCGTCACTCTGCACGCAGGAAAAGTAAGTTGCCGGCCGAGAAGGGAGATGCGTATCATGTTACATCTGGTTGAGCAAGGTCAAAGAAGAGACCGGACATCCCATTTTCGCTTTGCTGCACGAGGTGCGACTCCACGTCCAAAGAATAATCTTATCAGGTTTAACATACTTAATAAATATGAGTTACTGTTGTAAATATATGTTTCCTGTTAAAACTGGAGGTTTCTTTCCGAACCCTGCAATGTCCGCTCCAAATCCTAACACTCCCTGCTTCAATTGAATTATTGATTTCTTCGTGTCAACAGCTAAGATCATTAGTCTCGTAAATGTAGTTTGTGTTTTAATTCGGGAGGTGGCGGTGATTTTCCACAGAGGGAGGGCGAGTTCCGGGGCAGACCTACACGCCAGCTTGATGGCCTTTTTTCAACCAGGTATTTCCCGCCATCGAGGCACCGCACAAGCCGGAACAAGCTATAATCTCCTGTATGTGGGAGTGTAATGCATGTAACTGTGTTGGAAAGTAAAGGTAAGGAGAGAAGAAGGAAGAGGAAGGAAAGGTCGTGGACGATTGTCAGGTTCCTGCTCCGGTATTCGCTTGGTGTTAAATGGATAAACTGCGGAAAACTACCTTTCAGAACAGCTGACCTTAAGGATTCTCCTCCAGACAGCAGGTTAATTCGACCTAGCGGTACAGCTAGAATCGAAATTTCTGCCACCGTCGGAACTCCAACCGTAGGACCGCCCGGTCAGAGGCCCCATAGATCACTGATCATCGTCATATAGGATGAGTCATCTCATCCTATATCTACAGCCTTGCTAATTCCGTATTTCTGCTCTTTAATTTTAGTACCACAGAGTTTCTCTAGACACGTGGAGATTTCCAATTATGCAAACGGAATTGATCTTTGTAAGAAGTCAAAGCAATTTTTGTACACACTGTTTTAGTGTCGAGGTTCGAAGCGCGATCTCTTTAAGGTGACGGGTTGTAAAACTACTAGCAACGAACTCTTGGAAACGGAGATGAACCATTTCGAACGGTGATTTGCAAAGTACGCGGGTGTATGTTGATTCTTATTCCATGCTGTCTTTCCAACCATTTCAGGTATGTTGAGCTCTGCAAGTAGTTGGACAAAATTGTGTTAATCCTGCTATCTGGATTCAACTCCCTGGTTCTCTGGGCGCGACGAAATGTCCAACCACGCGTGCTGGTGGTTTGGAACAGGATATGTTTCTGGTTCCTAGTAAACTGGCGTAAATGTACGAGTAATGATGTTCGTGCATTTTGCAACTATTTGCCAACGCGATAAGAGACCGTGACATCGGGTAGGCGTCGTTCAGCCTCCGTGCGTCTATCGCCACCAGCACTATATCAACTTGACATTACAATAGTGCCGCAGGAGTAACCCCTGTCACATTCATTATAACAGCGCTTTGCAATCATCTTCACAGTTGTGGCCTGCTCATTTTAATGCATCACGATTCTGGTATTGCCGTGCTATCGTCAGATTGACCTTTTTCAGTCTCTTTTACTTGTTCTACACGATTCTTTTTTCACACATGGGTGGGATAAAAGGCATACACGCACAATCCTGTAAAGCTCATTATAGGAATAAACTTAGAACGATCGCGAGGGCGGTATTAATGCCGCCTTTGAAAATAAAGCGGCGTTGCGCCTTGATGTTTGAACTCAGCATTACAGGATACCAGGTATTCTTTAGTTATCTATTGAGACAAGACTGCCGCAGCACAAAACTACCGCTCGCGATCGCTCATATGACACTAAATCGCGCGAGACCGAAGGAAAATTTAATAAAAATTAATCAGATAATATTACAATTAGTTCATAAGTGAATACATCACCGAAGTGCCTACTGTGATTACAATCGCCTGGCTCGATATCCAATGTCCAGAGATGTATATATTGAAGGGTTGTTGTCATACATTTGCTGTCCCAAATCGCACTTATCCCTTCAACTGGTAAGTGTGATTAGTTTTCTAAAAAGAAGCTCACTGTATACTTCGTATTGAATGCGTTTGTGTCTGAAGTGGGGATTTAAAGAATAGAAATTCAATAAGTTCGTTGCTTCCCGTGCGTTGGAATCACCATCACTTCGGCTATCGCGAAAGAACGTTTTGCATTCTAGAAACCTAAGTATTTTCGGAAAGTAAAATTACCCATTTTATAATACTTCGAAACACCAATTTCACCGTGAACAAAGAATGAAAATTATAACCACGGATGATGTATTTGGAGCAATCCGACAACCCGGAGTTCTATTATTGTCTCGGCGACTCCACTACGATTCTCGTGGATTCTTTCCTACTGCAGCGAAAAAATCCAGCAATACGGTACTTATGTGGTATCAGCTTCAGTCCTCTCAGCAAACAGGGCATCATAAATCTACGCGCGTGACATATCACCCACAGCAGCACTCCACACATCGCAACACACACAGTAGCGCAATGCTCCAAAGCGCTGATAGGAATCGCGTTCCGTTAAACAACACGAGACCCCGCACGCTACTCGTGCTGTTCATCAAAAGCCACGGCAAGTTCTTTTCGTTCTACATTTAAATTATCACTCGCGTTAATTCACTGCGACTAGAATATTAGACTGAAATGAAAACCGTAATCAGAGGCGCATCTAGGATTTTTGTCGCAGTGCAGGGAGACTACGGATGTAGGGTTCAGCCGACTTTGTTTTCTTATATAGAATTTTTCATTTATGCTCAGCATGGAATGCATTTTTATTGCTGATTTATTATTAATATTAACAATGTGAACAAGAGGTGAATTGAATGACATTCGTTAGTATAGAAGATTTGTAAAAGCTATATTATTCAATAAGTATCCTCGGCTTCTGGGGAAAGGGCTGGAACTCTATACGCCTCCCCCTGATACGGTGCGCCACTGAGCATAAAAATGTATTTTTTAGATAATAACAACTTTAAAAAGCTAACAAGTGGCCTATTTCTCGATGTTTTTTGTTGTTTTAATTGTTTTATTTGCGTTTAAACATTTATTTAAAGACACTAAATGCAAGAATCTCAAATCTTCATTCAGTGAGCTTCAAAATACACAGCAGCAGCAAACTTGAAAATTACATAATAAGAGGATAGAAGAGGATATTTAGAAGGGAAAAAATGGATAAAACAAATCAAATGGGTTCTCGAGAACAGAAAGGAGCGACAGAAATGTCTATAAACGAAAGTTTCAGTCATAAACATGATAAATGTTTTCAAATATTTTTCTCACTGAACGCTTCATTTGCACATTTTCCTGACTTCGAGATAGAGTACTCTTGGTTGCAAGAAATGAGACAGATGATTGTAAGAGAGAAATATTCGAGGAGAATAAGGAATATACTGAAGAAGGTTAAAAAAAGGAGGATTTTGCAGACGACAAACTGAATATTAGAATAACTTAGAAACGACAGAAAACTGAAAAAAAATTACACAGATTTGACAGGTGGAGAATTAACGAGGAACGGATTTTGACACTTAGGAATGAACTAACATGGAAAACGTAAAAGAAATTGACGTGGAGTAGAAGATGAGGACATGGACATCAGAAATGGATCTGGAAACTAATAAGGGACGTAGGAAGTGTGAGGGAAAAAAAGAGGAGATACAAAAAGAGGCAGCAAGAAGGTATCGATGACAATCGCGCCGAGCAACGTGTTAGGCCGAGACCGCTGACTCACCTGTGGTCGCGCAGGTGGTCCTGTCGGCGGAAGGCCTTCCCGCAGATGTCGCACGAGTAGGGCCGCTCGTCCGTGTGCGTGCGTTCGTGGATGAGCAGGTGTAGCTCTTGGTGAACTGGCGGTTGCAGAACTTGCAGATGAACTGCTTCTTGGGCGCGACGCGCGGCCGGGCGCGCGCAGCAACCGCCGGTCCAGGTGCGGCCGTGCGCGCCCGCCGAACATCATCCGGCGCGGCGGCGGCCGCAGCCGCGCCGCGGCCGCCGCCCCGGGGTAGGGAACGCCCCCGGGGCGGACCGGCCCCGGCCCGCCGGCCCGCCCCGCGCGGGCCCCGCCGCCCGGTAAATCCCGCGGCGCCGGCGGGGGCCGACGGGTGGTGCGCGGCCCGGGGCTGCAGCGACGGGGGCGGCAGCAACTATGGCGGCGCCGCCGCGTGCGCCGCCTCCACCGCACGCCGCCTCCTCGCGCAGCGCCAGCTCCTTGCGCTTGTCCGCCATCAGCGCCACCAGGTCGAAGGCCTTGCCGCGGTACGGAGGCGCCCCCGCCGCGGCCGCCGCCGCCGCAGCTGCTGCTTTGCGCTGCAACACCAACGCCACGCAGCAAGTGAGCTAACACGCTCAAAGCATCATTCACTACTTAAATCTCTCTAAGACACAACCTGTATAAGCAGGAAAGGATAATTTCGTAGCTGCAGAGGCAACAGCCTTGTGCTGCAACACCAACTTCACGCAACAAGTGAGCTCACAGGCTCAAAGCATCATTCAGTATTACAGTTAAATCTCTCTAAGATACAACCTGTATAAGCCGGAAAACTGCCTTAATCGGAAACATTCTCCAGCGAGCTATCAGGCTCAAAATATCATTCATTATTACAGTTAAATCTCTCTAAGACACAACCTGTATAAGCAGGAAACCTGCCTTAAGCCGAAACATTCTCCGACCCTTGAGGATAATTTCGCACCTGCAGAGGCAACAGCCTTGTGCTGCAACATCAACGCCACGCAGCAAGTGAGCTCATAGGCTCAAATCATCATTCACTTCTACAGTTAAATCTGTCCAAGGCACAACCTGTATAAGGCGGAAACCTCCCTTAATCGGAAAATTCCTCAGGCCCGTGAGAATAATTTCGCCGCAGCAGAAGCAACAGCATTGTGCTGCAACATCAACTTCACGCAACAAGTGAGCTAACAGGCTCAAAGCATCGTTCACTACTACAGTTAAATCTGTCCAAGGCACAACCTGTATAAGCCGGAAACCTCCCTTAATCGGAAAATTTCTCCGAACCTTGAGGATAATTTCGCACCTGCATAAGCAACAGCCTTGTGCTGCAACACCAACCTCACTCAACAAGTGAGCTAACAGGCTCAAAGCATCATTCATTATTAAATTAAATCTCTCTAAGGCACAACCTGTATAGGCCGGGAAACTGCCTTAATCGGAAATTGTCTCCGGCTCGTGAGAATAATTTCGTCGCAGCAGAAGCAACAGCACTGTGCTGCAACACCAACACCACCAAGTGAGCTAAAAGACTCAAATTCATTGCAGTAAAATCTGTCTAAACCGGAACATGTACAAGCCCGCAACCTGCCTAAATCGGAAAATTCCTCCAGCTCTTGAGGCCGCTGCAGAAGCAACGGCAGTGTGCTGCAATACCAACACCAGGCAAAAAGTGAGCTATCAGGCTCAAAGCATCATTCATTATTACAGTAACATCTCTCTAAACCGGAAACTGTATAAACCGGAAACCTGCCTTATATTCCGATTTAAAAACCCAATGGCACTTCAAGGTCACGTGTTGGGCGCAGAGGGGTAACACACTGCTATCCAATCGGACAACAGTGAACCAAATGCTTCAATTTGTTCAAATTATCATTTATCATTACAATAAAATGCACCGGAATCTGTTCCAGTGCGAAACCCGCCTTAATCGGCAATATTTTGCCGCCCCACGAAGTTCATTTGCGCTGCAACACCAATACCACGTGAGCTGATATGAATATAATTTACTATTATATTATAGTAAATCTGAATCTGTACTAGCCGGAAACTTGCATTATACATCATTTTAAACAGTGAGTTAATTGCATCAATTTATTCAAATCATCATTTATTATTAATGGTTTGCCAGAGGATTTTTTTTGTGGTGATATTTGTAATTTCGCACTATTTAAGGAAAATATTAAAGCTACTCTGATACCTGATAAATGGTCGTCTCTCTTATTTTTCTTCGACAAAGTACAAATTAAACATATTTTCTCACCAAACAAAAACTAAGCAAAAAATTATGTTCAATGTAATGGTGAACTAGTGTTTCAATGGAATAAAAGGCTATCTGCTTTTATAACCGTCTCAAACTTTTCTCTGACTTCTAACGATTCTTCTACAAGCTCAGCTCACTGATTTCACCGAGATCAAGTACTTCTTTTTTTAAATTTCAACAAATATACAATACAATCTAGTTGAGTAACCTTAACAAAATATTCCCTGACTTCTAACAATTCTTCTACAAATTCCCTGATATTTCCCTGACTTTCCAGAGCAACGAAACTCTCAGATGTTTCCCAGTTTTCCATATTTTCCACAAAGTGGCCATCCTGTCTCTATGAGAATAAAATCAATATCATAATGAAGTTACTCTTGTCAAGTTTTCAACATAGCACCGAAGGAAACAGCTTCGTTTCAACAACAACTAGTTTGTATCCTTTTAAACGACACATATTTCAGACACCCACTTCGATAATTTGTCCTCAAGAGCATTTAAAGGAAATTACTGCGTCATAAGTTCGATGCTTTGAAATGCACCCCACATTGAAAATTCATATATTCCGAACGCACACATGGTCAAGGGTCCTGAATTAACATTTGGAAAATGAGCGAGGGCCTGTTTTTCTAACCAGTTCTGGCGAGACGCGTATCACACAGCATGACACAAAGAAGGGCTAATCCCTAATTTGGGTGCTACTCTCGAAATGGACCTTTCGTAAAAAACCCTTAATAGGGGGGCTATAGCCATCCAATTCTTGACCGCGAGGCGCGGAGGACGTTGAAGCTTTCCCTTCCCCCCTTTCTTAAAAAAAGTCAATTCCCTTGTTTCATTTAAAATGAAGGCAGGTATAGTCTGGTGTTGAATACAGATACGACTAGAAAGGTTGAAGGGAACATGCTACGGAACCGTTATCCAAAGGGATTGAGTTAAGGAATGAAGGAATGTTCGTAGTTTGCATTTATATTGGACATACAATATGCATCAATACCATCATGATACAAATTAAAACAGAATGTATTAGCATACACGATATTTTAGTCGTATCTACTGACCAGTTCAATATACCATACATCTGTCCGTATACATGCGAATAAAATTGTAGAAGCAAAACCTTATATCGATGAAAATATGTTCTGTACGATGCACAGAAGCTGCTAGCTCGTTCATATTTCCTATTCTCTCGTAACGTTTTCTGTCTTTCCGAATTTTGATCTATTGTCAGCCTATACATTATAAAATGTAAGGTTTCTGGAGATAACACTTAAAGCAATGGCATCAAAATAATTCAACAGTATATCATAATTGAATTGATTTTTCATTTGATGGAGTGAATGATTTATTGTGGTATATTCATGCATCGATATGTTAAAGAATGGGCAAATGTCATTGTTACTAAACACAAATCTGACAAATACATTTCAGACTTTGATAAAGCAGTGAATATTGCATTACATATTGAAACAAACCGTTGGAAAATATGCTGGGCTTCGCAGCGGAGCGAAAAGCCATGGGTTAATTAATTCTCTGCCTACGTACTGTAGTGTAAAGTTCAGAAAAGGGCAACTACTATTACGACTATTCAGCATGAGGATTGCACACATCGACCACTCCATATTAATGCTAACAAAAATACGAAATTGCGCTGTCACTTCGTAACCTGAGTAAACGCGGGTATGCCCAGAGCTCTAGTCCAACTTGCCAGCGTATAGGTGCAGACAAATTCTACGTCCGATGACCTCAGAAAGAAGGTAGCAGTGGAATGGAGACCAAAAAAATGTCTGAAAAGGATCACTCTGCCCCCAAGTGACAACTAAAAAAAGTAAATAACATTTTTTAAAAAAATATAACATCTTTATTCAACTCTAGTCTTGAGTAATATATTGATATTAAAATCCAGATCAAAATCACAATCCACATCGAGTCAAATGGGAAACAGCCTAACTCAGGAGATTTCAAACTGTGCGTCGCAGCTCCCAGGGGCGTCGCGGTCATACGGTAGGAGCGTCGCAGTGATTATTAAAAATAATCTTTAGATTCGATTTACTTTACTGCTTGTGTGATTTTATGACTACAAAATAATTTAGTACTATAATACTACACGTTATTTGAAATGTATATGACTTATTTTACGAATTGGATTAATTGAACCTGTCAAGTCCTTATCAATAGTCTGTTGTATCACTGACTCATTTGTGTTGAACCTTTAGTAGGCCTATGTTATATTTGAAACTTATTGTTGGCGGGGGAGCCGCGGGAAATTTCGTTTAGGTCAAGAGATTCGTGGAGGAAAAAAGTTTGAAAACCCCTGGCCTAACTGAATGTAAGCGGGAGACTTTCTTGCGCTCGCCCGACTGTACGCGCAGATTAAAAGCCCTGGTCCGAAGGCGTCGGGTGGGAGAGGGGCAACCCGCCTCCGAATCACAACGACCGGAAGTGCTGCCCCCTTCAGAAGCTCCGCTCTGCGGCGGCGGTGGAGGAGGTGGAGGTGGCGATGGCGGTCGCAGTGACTGAAAAGGCGGCGGCAGTGGCAAGGGCGATGGCTGTGGCAGTAGCTGCGGCGGCGGTGGTGTCGGGGGCTTTGACAGCAACGGTGGTGACGGTGGCGGTGGATGTGGTGCCGGAGGTGAAGGTGGAGACTGCGGCGGCGACCGAAGCAGCGGTGGGAGTGGAAAGGGAGATGGTGGCGATGGAGGTGGTGAAAGAGGCGGAGGTGGAGGCGGCGACGGCGGAGGAGGAGATGATGGTGATGGTGATGGCGGACGCCGTGCTTGAGAAGGCGACGGCAGTGGCAAGGGCGATTGCTGTGGCTGTAGCTGCGGCGGCTGTGGTGGCAGTGGAAGCGGTGGTGGCGGGGGCGATAACGGCAGCCGTGGTGGAGACGGCAGTGGCGGTGGATGTCTTGGCGACGGCGGTGGTAGCAGCGATGCTGGCGAAGGCTTTGACGGCTGTGGTGGCAACGGAA